AAACTTCAGTACCAAAAAACAAGCGTTAATTTGAAAAAGGAAAAAAAAACTTTACATTACTAGGAATTTTTCTGTTGTGGTGACCATGGTGGTCCATCCTGCCGAGCTGACCCGCTAACGACGTTTAATCTAGACTGTTTCATTTAGCTGCTGCAGTGAAAGCCTCTCACCAGCTTATTCAGCACCTTATTTTATTTAAGACTTAATTTTTTCGAGTGATTATCGGCAAACTTTTGCCAATGGGACATCATCTGTGAGATCAGGTGGACCAGATCAACAGCAGGGGACCATCAAGGTCACCACACTTCCACATCACGTCAGCTATGGCTGCGGTTACAGTTAATGAATTACGTCCAAAAAAAAGGAATGTGGTCAGTGGCACTGGGCAATAGCTGGTGTTGACAACTAACTTTACTGCTAGGAAAAAGTATCCCATCTTTATTAGCCTCTACATTGCTGTGTTTCTTTATCTCCAAGGAGGGGATTTCTCAATGGCTATGTGATGTATCTGTGCACTGCATGCTGGGTATTGTAGTAACTGAACATTTATAATTGAAAACACGAAAACGACGCAAAATCTTAATCAAACCAGTGAAGCTGAGGCTGGCCTTTCATAGCTGCTGCCCTCTGTAGGTGTCAAATAAACTATTACAAATTGACATAAATATGCGGATAAATAAATAACTAAAATAGGAATACAGTCACGATTCAGCATAAATCTAAATGTCAATCCAAGGCATCCAAAGTAAGGACCCAAAACTATGAGAAATAGATCTGCAGGTCATTGATTAACCGTAGTGTTGTCACAGCTCTACTGTGGGCTTTTATCCGTGTTCCTGTGAGCTTGATCTGCTCTTAGAGTTGCCCTCTGCTGATTGAGCTGAGGCTTGGGTGAGGTAAGCTGCTAGTCTGGAGCAGAGCCAAAGCCAGGTCTCAGGAGTTTATCTACAAAGGCTCGTCATTCACAGAGCCACCTGGTTCAGCCCTGCAGCTCGACGCCGGCTTCCCTCCATTTCTGCTGTGTTTTGTACGCTCCATTGGACAGGAACACAAGCTTAGGCGTAGTAATTGTTCTGTTTCCTGCTGGACAGGCGTACGGCTATTTAGCATGGTCCCCTGGTTTGCGCTGAACTGTGTGAGTCGAATCAACCCTGGTGGCAGAAATGAGAACTTACATCTCCACGGCTTTTACTCTTGTAGATAAACGCCGTGGAAAAGACTCTTAGAGCGCGATTCTGCCCATGCGCTCAGCAGGTACAGCGCAAAAGTACGTCATTTGAAAGGGTGGTGCATGTGGTGCCCCCTGGCTTCAGCTTCTACTATCCTGATACAGTACCAGTCGAAGGTGGTGGTTTGGATTTGGAAGTTTCATTTCAAAACGAGACATTTTTATGGTGTTGTCTGAAGTGTTGGGTGTGGCTGTGCTTTCATTCCATCAATACCAACTGACTGATATTGACTACAGACATGCAGACAGACAGACAGACAGACAGCTCTGTTGAGACTCTAATCTCAGAGAGAGGAATGAATGGAATCCTGTGTTGGCTGTGGCTCTGCAGACACTGTTGCTCTTTCATGTTAGACTCCTGCAGCTGCGTTCAGAGCAGTTGGCCTGGCGGCGTGTGCTGGGGTGGGGTGCGGGGGAAACGCGTAGGGGGGCGGGGGGGGTGGTAGAACAGCCCTGAGTTCCTCCTGTTCAGCATGGACTGTGTGATAAAGTGGTGATAGCTGTGTAAAAATGAATCCATGCAGGCGGCAAATCAGTTAGACTGATTTTGGAGTGTTGGAGTCAGTTCTATTCGGTTATATCGGGTCGCAACCCAAATGTTAAGAGCCATTTTGTCCTTTCAACAAATATCAAACCACCTTGGTAGCCACAACAGTTTATGTCCATTTTACCATCCCTGCTGTAAATATGTCTCAGTATGTGCTGATGTACTAGTATAATCTTAAAATATAATATTTTCTAACATCTCTGGCAGGAAACTTTTCCGCAAAAGTAGAACAATTTCCTGTAAAATGTCCCTCGTCATTCGACTTTTCACGAGTCTTATTCGCCAGCTTCTTGTTCAGAATTTTCCGTTCCACCTTAAATGGTGCCTGAGGCGCCAGAATGTAACTGCTGCACCATTTAAGGTGGAATGGGAGAATTCGAACAAGAGGCCGACTTCAGTTTTGCGACTTTTTAGTGTTTGACTGTTTCTCGTTGCAGATAAAACATAACCAGCTGGAGTGATAATAAAAGCAAATAGTCTCTAAATTATCAGTGTTGGTCTTAAATCTCTCTCCTGAGGTGAATTAGCAGTTACAGACCATTTGTTGTTAAAAGTGTTGAACGATCAGCAGAGCTCCGTTTTACTGCAAAGGAAGATTATTTTATTTTTACATAAAAATCTAATTCGGCTGTGAAGCCGCAACAGAGCAGTAAAAGAGCTGCATGTTGCCGAACCCTGGGTTATATTAATATTCAATAAAGAATGCACAAAAAAAATCACAATTGAGTTGAATAGCTGTGAGGTCTGAGATCCACACTGGAAATTCTTGTCCAAAACCGAATTTTATAACCAAAAAAAGCTGATGATAAATGAAAACAGTTCACGTAAAATAAACTAAAATGATTATAGTATGTGGGTTACAGCACATGCACAACAAGGCAAGGAATTCCATTATTTTTAGCTATACTTCGCACTTTTGGCTGTCATTTGTAATTTTTTTCGTCATTTTAGAATACGATTCTACAGATGATGTCGGCAAATACACAAGGACTTTTTTGCTTCTGGTGTTTTGCTGTTTTCTGCTAAACCTGGAGTGGAGATGTTTTGTGGTGTTGTATCTCCTCTTGATTCTCGGCATGAAATAGTTCCACCCATTGTTCCAGTTGACATTTTCACTGTTGATCCACTGTTGATCCAACTGTTTGAGCGTCCTGACGAATGCAGAAGAATTAAGAAAACAACTAAACTAATTTCTCATTTTCATTATTGTTAAATAGTTTGTAAAGGCTTAGATTTTAATCGTGTTTTGCATGTCTATTAATGTTTATTTTAAGTCAACATTTTCAGACTTTTTTTCTTTTTCGTTCAAAAACTGAAGTGTTTTTGACAATTTTTCTAAATTATTGATGGACAGAATTTCAGTGCATCTCTGATTTACACTCCTAAAGTAAGTGTGAGCATCGGTTAAGTTTTTACATAAAGTAATTCAGTTTTGCCACTTACAAAAAATTCAATGTAATTGCCTGTATGGGTTTTCCAGTTAGCCATGAAAGAAAGCGTTTAATACATTTTCACATGAATATGGTTCTTTTAATTCTGTGCTTTCTGCACTGATCTCAAGAATTTTTACTTTCTTTGGTCACCTTGACCACACGTCTGCACTGAATTTAAAAAAAAACACCTTGCCATGCCAGCTTTCCGTTATAGGAGAAATCGGACAAAGTTTTGCAAGCTGTTTTAGTAAAATCAAGAGTCCGAAGAGCCCTTTTAACCAGTCTATGTACCAAGGCTTTCAAAGATGCAGCCTACAAGGAAAAACATTTGTAGGCAAAATGTGGTACAATAAGCTTCTTTCATAAAATCAAAAGTACAACCCAAATCTATCAGAAACTGTAGTATTTATTTTTATTTTTTTATGTTCATCAATAGTTACAACGTCTGCTAGCAGGTATGTTGGAAAACATCTTAAAGTGTTTTCACAGAACATGTATGACTTTACAAAACAGTTGATATGCACTGAAACTGCGGTGGGGAGAATGGATGATAAATCCTTGGATATTATGTCCACAATAAACAAATCTCTATAGAGGTAACAGTCATTTAGAATGAGACTGCTTGGCAGTGGCTTTAGTTGCTGTGCTCAATTAAAAAGTGGCCAATCAGTCAAGTTCTTACCCCTTGGTGGGATTATTAGCCTATTGTTTTTGTAACTTTTCTATATGTGTATGTATTAAATAGAAGTCAAGCATGAAGCCTCAGTAAGGAAATTTCCTCTGCTCTGTTAAAACGCAAACTTAGTCTTTATTGTTCTAAGAAGTGATTATTCATTCACCGAGTCATTTTATTTGCAGAGCTGAATACCCGACGGTGTCTGTGGTGTACTGTGTACTTTTTAGTGATTCAGCTATGGGTCTACAATGCATTGTTATTCTATACAAGTTACAAATTACGAGTGCAGCCACAGCGCGGCAGAAGGAGGAGCAAACAAAAATCTTTTATTCCTTAAAAGGCAGAAAGCTCACGTCCCATGCAGCACGGAGAAGAAAGAAATGCTCTGTTTCAGGAATACTTGGATGTTTGCAGTCACAAACTTTGTGTGTATGAAGTCAAAGGCACAGAAACATCTCAAACCCAACTTGATTTTGTTTGAACAAGCAGCTCAGCAGATTGCTAACTGGATAATCCAGTCCAAGATTCGAGTTGATTCACTGTAATGATTCACTTTAAAACTGTAACATACAAAGTAGCTCTACTTTCTTTAGCTTCATGGTAGCATATAAGGGTAAATCCCATATCTGCACCATGTCCGGTGGCGGTGTGGTGACTGTGGTGGTTCCTCCTGATGAGTTGGTCCACCTGGCATCATAGATGCTGTTCCATTGGCTACAGTTTGCTAAAGATAAGAAGGATCATTGGTAAGAACCAAAAACATTAAAAGTTGTTCATGATTCTGTTAAGGTACATCCTTTCCTCTGTTTGAGTTGCATCATATTGTGCCACAGAGCAACCTCTGTGTCTGTGTGCAGGTCTGTCTCTCTCTGGAGCCCCAGCATGCTGTTAAGTCATGTAATATGCAGTAATTGATTTTGTTAGTGTGTGTACCAGCTATGGAAAGGGGTTTAAGAGCGTGGCAGTGAGGCCAGCAGTATTTTAATTCAACTTAATGGTTATAGCAGCTATAACACAAGCTTATAATTGGATTTTAGGGCCTCCTGATGGCCCTAACTGTTGTGCTTCTTGCTGCAGCATCATGGTTTATCTCCCTCTCTTTTTTTTTTTCAACAGACGGTGGATATTCACAAGGAGAAAGTGGCCAGGCGAGAGATTGGTATTCTGACCACAAATAAAAACACATCAAGGACCCATAAGATCATCGCACCGGCCAACATGGAGAGGCCAGTGAGGTACATCAGGAAACCCATTGACTACACCGTACTGGATGACGTGGGCCATGGAGTCAAGGTACACCGCCCTTTTCTGCCGCATGGACGTTTCATTGTTTTTCATACGTTTCGAGGACAAAAGTGTCCTGAAAACATATAAACGAAATGGTCATCCATGCTTCATTTGTTTTAAACTGATAGGGCAAAAGCACTTCTTGTTGGTTACTGAGGTTAAGATTAGGGTTAGGCCTAGAAAATTATTGTTACATATATTCTCATTACACACATATTCCTATTATATCTTTTATATATATGAAAACTTGTAAATATAATACATATGAGGCATATTATTCTATATAGGCACTTACACATATATGTAATATATTATTGTATCCTATAGGTATATATATAATAATAATATATCCCTTATATATTACACATCTGTGTAATATACTATTACATATAGGTGCTGACATATATACAGTACATATAAGACCTTATGGTTACATGTAGATACTTCTTATACCTTATATATTGTTATGTATAGGTAGTAGGTGTTTGAGTGTGAGGGAGAGATGTTTGTGATGCTTCGTCACTCTTGACTCTTTCAGAGAGTGACTCAGGGGAGTTTTGGGAGTGCATGTGTGAGCTATTTTTAAAGCTCTACTCACAGGTCTGAAAAAAAATGAGCCAATTAATTTATGAGCCTTTTACAAAGCACTTTGTACTGAGAATGCTTCTTGATTGTCCGTTGTTCCTCAGTGAAGCTGAGCTGAGGTCAGGACAATTTTACAGTGTTTTTATTTATTTTTTTTTAACCAATCCACAGATTAGGACACCCACTGGCTTTGTGGTTCATTCTTTGCGTCTATTCGTTCTGTGTAGAAATTAAAAGAGAAGCTCAGCCAAGCATCATGATGATGTCGCTTTAAGTGGAGGAAAACAACAGGCTATCAATTAGCATGATTTCATCGTTTTTATGGTGTCAATTAGTGGTTATTGACACGCTCATTTATTGATGGAAACATTTATGGAAATCGGTATTTTAACCTAACCTCTGTCTGCTGCATATGTGTCTGCATGTGATCAATTGCCATAAACAGTAATTTCCCTGTTCTTAGAAAAGTACAGCAAACCCATTCACTAGAAACACACAAGAGAAGTCAATAGGAAGCTGCTTCAGCTTCAGCGGCCGGCCACTGACGTCCAGTGTGAGCGACTTCTGACTTCAATCCAGTGGATTTGCTGCACTTTTACAGGACAAAACACGTCCAAATTATTGTCCGTGATAATTGACTGTATGATACAAATGCAGCAGACAGAGATTAAGCTGAAAAAACGGTAGAATATTCCTTTAAAGAAATAGTTCTTTCATGAATGCTAGTGTTGCTAACAGTGAATGAAAAATAATAGACACCAGTTAGTAAACTGACAGTGACAGTTGCTTTTAGCTTCCTGCAGAATTAGCTTTATCCACATAATTCTTCCTTTAAAGTTCGTTTTCTTGAGTCAGACAGCGACACGACAGCAGCTAAACTTCCTCCTCGTAGTCCAGAGGTGAGGAAGCCTTGCTCGCGCTGCCGATCTGGTTTTGACATCTCTCCAGAGCTGCAGTTTCCTGCTTCCCATCCATCATCCCATCCACTGGTGCCATCACGCCGATTGGATTAGGCCTCAGCTGGTGTCCTTAGAGCAGTGATGGCCACTGGAAAGGCCACATAAAAGCCATCACGTCAGCCTCAATTTAGCAATGCACAAATCACAAGGCCTGTGATTATTTCATCTTCAGAAACCGTGTGGCCTCGTAGCTCCGAGATGGTCCATTATCATCTCATGTTCGAGTAGTTCTCTCTGAAGCTGATGCCGAACAAAAACTGCGAAGTGGTCATTTATGCAGACCAAGCAATCTGCCAGTGTTAAAGGGATTTACTGAGGTATTCTAGCATTTTCTTTTCATGTTTGTGTGGTGATGCTGCCAGAGGGTTTGAGGTGCTCAGAACTGGGCTTGTAGAAACAATACAGTGTAGTAGAGGAACACTGCCCTTTAATACTGTTTTAATACTGAATGGATCAATTTGTTAAAAATCCTATTTTCATGATCTTCCATTCAGAGTTAAGAATGTTTCTTCTGTAAAAATGACCATTTTGGAGACTAATGATAATCATATGTGATACAGACCATAAAAAACAGCACACAAGTTTGATTTATGCTTGAAAATAGTCCAACAAAGTTTGTGTTGGCCGAAAAATGAGCCATCTCATTTGTGTATTTGGCGCATTTTAGAACATAATTCAGAATCATATCAAAATAATCAAGCTGAATCAAATCATAGCAATGTTTGTAGGGATGTACGCTGATATTGCAATCGTATCAGTATCAGCAGGCTTAGAAAAAATATCTTGATTGAAATTTCGACTGATACTTGATGATTAATTTTACTCTGGAATTAGCGAACGTTTAGCCAACGCTGGATTACTGCATTAAAATATCTGTGTTTTATTAATCTTACTGCATTTTTAGAGCTACAGATGGATATATTTCTCTGCAGTGCTTTTCCAGGTGGATGTAGTCTCAATTTGTACATTTTTATAAATGTTTATATATCAGCATCGGCATATATATATATACATGAAAAATATTAGATATCAGCATTGGCTCGGAATGCCCATATCAGAGCACCTTGAGAAGTTTGAGATTTCATGATGTACTAATTTCTTTAAAAATCAAAATCTAAGATGTTGAAAACTCTTTGTTGAATTTTTGATGCCAGTTTTTTTGATGTAGCACCACTTAGTGCTTTGTGTCTGCGTGTCAGAGTATCGTATGTATTGTGTATTCTAAAAATGTCTATAAGGATATGTATGCTATATCGCTCACCCCTAAATTGATGTATTATTCATTAAAAATAACAGTTGTGGATAAAATATTTAACGTTGTTAAATAAACCCAAATTTATTATCCGTTCAAATTAAACAGGCCTATTAAATATTTAATGACTAATAAAAAGGGACACACAATGAAGGTAAATCTATTTTGGTGCTTCAGTCTTGAAAATTTCAGCAATAAAACAGCGCTGATGCAATTTGTGTCACTACCAAGAGATTAGACTTAGTTTTTCTTAGTTAGTCGCGAATGTTTCCTCTCTCTCTCTGTAATCTGGCTGTTGGTGTTTTAATCTGGATGTCTGGATTTTGAGTATCGCTGGTGTGAATGAAGGATTACAGCTGAGATGACGTTCGTGTGATGAGAGATCTCTGTCAATCACCCAGTCCTGATCCACCAGTCACAGCCAAGAGCTAAGCAGTAGTCTCAGTCATCCATGTGCTTTTTATACACATCGTATAGAATATTATATACGATGTTTCGTCAGTGTCATACAAAAACCTAGTAGCTTCGTATTGTTTCCTATTCCATTTGAAATGACTAGGCGTTCTTTAAAGGATGTGAATCCTTGTTCATGTTAAGTGGATCAACAGAAATAGTTCAGAATTAGTCTGAATAAAATCTCATTACATTAGAGGCTCCAGTGTTTTTCAACCTAACGTCTATTTGCTGTATCTGTAGCGGGCTGTTGGTTAGCTTTGATGTGTTTCCCTGTGCTTTAAAATAACTAAAACCCACTAACGAGAAGCGTCTTCCTGTTTACTTCTGTTATGAATGTAGTGAGGCAATGGATTTTTTTTTTTGGTTCTTTTTTTAAATACAGAGAAATTGTTTGTGGTAGTCGACTGCGCAATACAGCTGCAGCAGACTGAGATTAGGTTACAAAACACTAGAGTATTCCTTTAACATACACTACAATTAAAAGGGAATTCCTTTGGCTCTTCAGTATTTCTGCATAGTTCGGTCACTGACATCTAAACAAAGTCATTCAGGAACCAGGTGTCATGATGTCTGTATCGCAAATATAGCCATTTTATTCAACATCCAAAATGAACAGTGAATCTAAACGTGTGTTCTGAGTTTTGATATGGAATGGTGATGACGGTAAAGTAGTGGTAAATAAGTTTTCTTTGGGAACTATTTTGCTTTTGATGTTTTAAATATATGTTTTTGGGCAAAAACCTTCTCGAAAACTATCGTAAAACATCAGGCAGCATATTCATAACCACTTTGCGTAATGTCTTTCTGTGAAGTAGCTTTTAGAGGCGTTAAACTCAGACGTCTGGTTCCTATCACCACCACTGCGAACAATTCTGACTCTACGTTTCTCTGGAATGGAGCATTTCACACCAAACCACTCTGAAAGACTTTGTTTACAACATAATGATTTAATTATGCAAAAACGCTGAAAAGCATCCTTCTCCTGGATAGTTGCCATTTCAGAGATATGAGTTTATGAGGGTAATTATTTAAGTATCTTAGCTTTCTGCTGTAGTTTGTCCACTTCTGGGTGATGATTAGCAGTAATCTACTACAAGTAAAGCGTGCAGTGATTAAAACAAAGCTGTTAGTTGAGTCCTTCTGCATGTGTGAGGTGTCTCACCTGTGATTTTGTATTTAATTCATTTTCAGAAGAAAGTTGGAGGGGCAGCTTTTAGTAATCTGTATACTTTAAGTGGAACGAAGCTTGCTTGAGCCACCTTCTCGAGCTTACTCTCCACAGCTTGTTTGACTGAGAGCACAGGTATCCATATTTTGACCAGTGCCCAGTCACAGGCTTGGTCCCGTAGTGTATTTGTCCGCGGAGTTCACACAGCTGCACAACACAGCAAGTAAAACCTCTGCATGGTGTCTGCAGTTGTTTGTTTTCTCCACAATTATGTCATAGTGCACACAGAAACTTGACGATTACTCCCTGCAAGAAGTATACAGAGGCCTATGGGCTAGCTTTACTCGGTGCACTTTACACACAACTAGTTGTTTGTTTTGAGTTGCCTGCAGCATCATTTCTGTGCAACTTGACCGTTAAAAACAATTAATTTTTCAAAAGCAATCAAAGTTGCATGCAACACATTCAGTTACTCCAGTTGTTAACCAGATTTACAGCTCCTACCATATAGTTCTGACTATAAAGTCACTTGAGATGCTTGCGACTGTTGTGGCTGAGTATCATGTGAGTTGCAGCATGCTTTACA